ACAGCGGCAGGGATGAAAGACCTGCAGAACCTCTTCTTCTTACACCGAGGGTGTAACAGTCTGGATTAGTGTGTGATGATCATGTTTGCATCACAAATTGAATTTCCATTAAAAAAAAACTTGTGTAATTGGTTGGGGTCTGTAACAAACCTTCCTTAATATTTAGAGTAGAAACATTTTCCTTCTATGTCTGTCTACATCTAATAGACCAGGCAGTGACAAATAGCAAAAACACATGAAAGAGTCGTAACTCTTGATTGGCATTGGGATTATAAAAAATGGCCATCGAATGAAGACAGCACGAACATCCGAAACGTGGATCCTTTTTAAAGAAAATGGTTTACTGGTGAAAACTGTTATCACAAAAGGTGAATTATTCTTAGCAGCTGTTTTTATACAAGTGTTAGGACTATTTTCCTCTAATTATAGCTAGACAGACACTCTGTACAGTAGAACTGTAACCAGTATAAGGCTTGAAACCAGGGCTTTGTCTAACACCTAGCAGTCTTACCAAACTATAAACTAACCTGCAAACATATTGCACCTTTTTTCACAATATACAATACCTATGCCTTTTTTCTGGGTAACCTCCTATGTGTAAACCTTTGTTATAATGAATGTTATTACAGCTAATTTTATATCTGATTCTTCAGCAATGTTGAAGACATAGCCAAGCTTAAACCTTTCACATGCGGCACAGCTGACACCTGAGGGACCCGACACTCGTGTTTGAGGCTAATATGTGTAAAAAGATTGAAGGATGGATGTTTGGCTGCAACCTGTTTGGCTGAAATCAGAGAGGAATCCTGTTGCCTCCTGACGAAGTAAAGGTTGATTTACTGTTGCAGCAATTCATTTCTATTGGACAACTGTGGTGTACGAAGTGCATTTGAGGTTGATGCATGTGTTTTAGAATGATTTAAGCGTGCAGGGAGGAATATGTGTTAGCATAGACAAAACAATGCCAAACCAGAGCCTGTTATCATTTTAAAGGCTCATGAGGTTTCTGTACTGTGATGTCGTACCTATTGCACTTGAAAATGTTTGACGCCTCATCTTTTGCATATTTAGGATAGCTAATATGAACTATTGTATGTATCTGTGTATTTATTTGTGTGTGAATGTTTAATTTTTTTTTTTACTTTTTCAGTGCCTATATGTGAATGTCACTAACAAATTGTCAGATTAAACCTACTTAATTTGCTTTACTTATATTATCCAGTTGAAATGTGTGCATTATTAGTTAATAAGATACTGGCATTAAAAGTTTAGTCTGCTCTGGTATTAGTTCATATCAGTACTGAACTAAGACCTACTTTACCCTGTTAATAAAGCATTGATACAATGCATCCTGTGTTCCTTTGTTGTATTTACCATATTTATAACAACACTGACTGAGGAAATGTAAGAAATGCTAGGACAGTGTGCAGGTCAGCAAACATTCCTGTTAATACACCATCTTGTGTTTATTTGACTTTGTAGGACAAATAATATTATGTACCAATGACTGACAGCATCCCAATAGTGCAAGAAAGTGAACAATGCAGGAATAAACACAAAACTGTTCTGAAGAACACTTCGATGCACCAACAATAGGTAGTATTTTCAGTGTGTACAGGTTTGTAAGAGGAACTTGTTTGTACAAAAAGCACAAACCAGAAGTAGCACTGCGACTGTACAGGTTTGTGAGAGGAACTATATACAGGTATGTACAAACAGTGAGGGTGGGGGAGGATGATGTCCACTGGAAGTGAGTGTCCGACCTCTGGGGGCTTGTTAGTGGCACATGCTCTCCTCCACACAGTGCGCAATCGAGTGAGGAGCACTTACAGTTCTTCCATAGGCGTGCTCCTTTCTCAACGCCTTTGGGGGTCGCCTGCTGCTCAGGACCCTTATTCCACCTAAAGACGTTTTCCTCCTCGACAAAGCTGTCGGATGCCTTCCAATTTGTGTGCAGGTTTGCAGGTAGCCCCTCTGTCTTTTGCAGCCTCTGGCCTTTGTTGGAAGAGACTTTCCAAATGAGGAAAGAGCTGACACCATGGCACTGTCTGTTTTAATGTTTTCGTAAGTCTTTACAAATGAAGTGATGGAATGAGTGAAATGAGGGTTGTCCAGTTTCTTGGTGATGTCCAGGAACATTCTGTTCAGCCTTTCCTTGATGGGCCGTTCACCTGGGGATATTCATGGAGAGTTGTATTAATAAATGCACCCTACCTGTCGAACTAAACATAGTTTTACACATCTGGCTTAAACCAATAGAGCTCTGTCCTCCCGACTACCAGACCCTCAATCTGGGTTAGAATCTCAGGCTCTGTTCTCATTTGGTTCTCATCTTATCTGTTTGAGATTGTCTAGAAAAACACCGTCTTCAACTGTCCCTATAATCTGTGGCGTTCCACAGGGTTCAATCCTTGGTCCTATCCTCTTCTCACCTTACATGTTCTCTCCCGACAACCTGTTTAACCAGTTCAAATGCATCTCCCACCACTGCTATGCTGACATGCAGCTGTATTTTTCCGTCAAGCCAAACCATACTGGTAATATTGGTGACTGCCTGGCTGCTATGGATGTCACCGAATTCAGCTAAATCCAGACAAATCCAAAGTTCTCCTTATCAATGCTATCACCCAGAGATCTACAGAGCAAAAGTAAAACATGGAGGGGAGTGATTTGTAAACATATAAATAATACATAAATAACACATAACTAAACATGACTCAAGTGCTGTCTTCTTTGAGGCAGCTGTTTGTATAGAAGTTACAAAACAATGAAGAAAATAATCAAACGTAATGAAGCATGGTCGAGTTATCTCAATTTCTTAATTGAATTTACAGAACAATTACTATGTCATAAGGAATAACGTAAAGAAACTCACCAGTGGCAATTTGATTGTAAAGCTTCTGTGTGTCCAGTGACAAGCCATGAAGGAAGGCGTCATTATGTCCAAACACCCTGGCTACCACAGTTTGGTGCTTACAGTGCCCACCCTTAAACCCTACTGGGCATGTGCAGCAGCCTATTGCCATGTCGACATGGTAGGACACTGCAGCATTGGATGAGCTTGTCACAGTGTAGTTGTCTTGGTCTTCCTGTAGCATTGGCATTACAGAAGAGAGGAAGAGGCCATTTTAGAATGTGTTGGAACTACATTTTGAAATATTCATATACATTTTCAATATAACAGTTAAGGACGTACAACATACACATACAACTGGTCTATTCAGATATATCCAAACTTCACCCAATTCCACTGTGCCATTCTTTTATGTGTCAGTAAGGGTATCTACATCAGGAATGTCAACTTCTACTTAAGGGCCTGTATGGACGCAGGTTTTTGTTACAACTGAGCAGGAGCACACCAGATTCCACTCTGAATCAACTCATCTGCGATACACACAGTTGACTCTTGATTTACTACTATTTACTATATTACTATTTTTATTGACAGTGTTATAACAATAACAGCTGTAAAATATTTCGCCCTAGGGTAAGCTAATGTTCGCCTTCAACCGTACAGTAGCGTACCTGCACAATGGAGTATCTCCCGATGTCCTCTGTTTCCAACACCTTCTTAAGAGAAGTTTGTAACCGATTGTTGGCAACATCTGTGAGGCGGCGGATGTAGTGTGCCTCCATTCTTGTGAACACAAAGTCCACCAACTGTCTCACATTGTAGGCTTTCAGTTGGTGGAGGACCTTCTCTTTCACCACCCTCATGGCACTTTCCACATAGTTGTTGGTATGGTTCCCTCTGGTGGGCAGTTGCACATGCAGGCAGATGGCCCACTCCTCTCGCCGCTGGAAGACCTCCTGCAGGTGCTGCACAAACTTTGGGTGCTGTGAGGCGACGTGGTCCTCCCTCAGCCTTGTGTAGACCTCCATGAGAGCTGCTGGTGTGGAAGCATACACCAGACTTCTGAAGGACCTCAGGAGGTGGGCCCTGTGCTGCTTGAGAACGTCATTTGAACTGCTCCACAGCCATCTCCACATGGCCTGAAGAACCACGCGGAACACACAGAGGACCAATGTGGCTTCTGGGTATGCCTCATGCAGTGCCTGTCTGAGTGCGGAGCAGTCGTCAGTCATGACAACAAGAGGTCCTTCTGGGTGGCCAAAGAACCTCTCAGGTGGAAGGACAGTCTGCAGCAGCTCTATGGCAGCTGAGAGAGTTGGCTGGCTTTGAGACGTGGTGATAAATACACCCAAAGGCAAACCACCGGCCGAGGAGTGGGTGAGGAGCAGGAAAAGGCGGTGATTGTTGCGTTCACAGTTCCCGGAGGAGTCCACAAACACCATCTCGCTGCTCTCTCTCAGCCTGGCGTGGACCCTCTTCATCATTGGAGTGCAGATGGCAATCACCAACTGATTGTCAGAGGTTTTGCACATCCTGGCGCAGACATCCCCTTGCTCCTTGTTGTAATCATCAAGGGTTTGTTCAAGA